CTCTTGCTTGCACGAGTAGGGCTTCCATCCCACTTCATGTGTGGCCGGAGCTGGAAGCCAAAAGCAACATGCGAGCTGCTTTGAAAACGCTCAACCCCAAGCCCTCCTAGTTAAGGGTTTAGGGTTTAGGCATTTCGGGATTTAGGGGCTTGGAGTTGAGGGCTGGCAAGATTCTGCAGTCCCCGCCACTCTTGCTAAGGCCAGTTGACAGCATCGGTCGACGAAATGCACATTGCCAGGGCCAGTTCGTATCAAGGCCTTCTGCACAACGGCATTAAGCATTTGGCACATGATACTGTATTCCAGTACATGACCTGATACTCCCGTTGTTAAACTTTGCTAGATCATACTGTAGCATGTTGTGTTGTGTTTTCGATTACCGTATATTCTGTTACATTATGCACGTTGCTATTAGTTCTGTTGTATTATTATGATATAACGTATGGTACTTTACTAGAATATATGTTACAAAGTTGTAATGTTTTACAGCATAGCAGGGCAAAACATAGCATAGTCTAGTATAGCACCGTATAGTATGGTATATCTTACCACATCCTTAAAAATAGTTCAAGTCGGGATCTAATTAGGGCCCCAAAAAAGCACATAAGCAAAAATTAGGATAGGGATATCCCATATAAATCCCCTTATACTGAAGCCCAATAAGGTAGGGATATCCCCATAAAATGCTTATGCTTATGTGCTTTCTTGGCCCCTGACTAATGGCAGTCGACCCTTGCCATTTCGACTTAAGGCACCAGTCGTAAGGACTGCCAGTGAAAAAAACTCAACCCTTCACCACGGAGCCTTGGACTCTTTGAGGCATACTCCGGTTGATGATATACATCCTGCATTACCTTAAGGACCCTACACTGTGAGAATTATGGTATACTCCTTATTATGGATAATGCAGGATTTATATCATCAACCGTCCGAGTGTAGTTGAGAAGAGGTTGTTCTTAGGAAACCCGGCAAGCAGCAGAAGGAGCAACGTCAACCTTTACATCCCATGCCCAAAAAAGTCTACGATCTTCAGAGCACTGCAGCTTGGATCCTCAAGCCTCAACCACAAACCAAAGTTCAAAGCTGGCTGTGGCTGGGCTTTCCTCGCTCTGCACTCTTCGGCGCATTCGAGTAGGATGGCTCTGTTCGCGCTACACCAGGTGCTTTATGTCGGGTAGGTCGCATGCGCACTATGACTACTCGCGATCGACAAGAAGCCGCAAAGTGGAGTGTCCTACTGCGCTTCGAACGTGACAATGCCGCATGCTGCACTCAAGGCGGCTTCCCCTAAGGGTCCATGTGCACAAATAGTATATACTTTGGCGCCGAGGTACCTCTATAAAAAACACTTTAAGGCCTAAGCATATACTGTTTGGCCACATGGACCCATACTATACTGAACTTAGAACCCTAGCAAAAAATAGAATTTTAGCTGCTTCTTAGGGATTATAATAACCAAAAATTAAAAATTATTTCTAAGTACCCCTAAGCATAGACTTCGGCAGCTGCGCTGGCAGCGGCAGGGAGCAGCTGGAGCCATCTCTGCCATTACCTGCTCGGCAAGCTGCGTTAGTCCACATTCACATGGCTCTAGGGGTACTGTTGATGGACAAAATGCTGCGTTGCTCATTATAAGGAATATACCGTAGTTCCCATAGTTTAGAGTCCTTAGGGTCATGCAGGATTTTGTCCATCAACAGTATCCTATACTACAAGACCAAAAATCACAAGGAACCCCCAAGCAGTATTGGTACTCATTTAAGCGCTACTGTAGGTGAATGTCTACACTAGTCTACATGGCTCCAAACCCCAAACCCCAGATCGTTAATCGATTTGTGGAAGGTTGACTCGGGCTAGGGCTGGAGTTCGCAGGCTAGAGGCTTGTGGCTGTGGGTGTAGACATGATGATTTGTCGACCCTGTCCTATATAATTACACCCCAAACCCTAAACTTCCTTCTTCCTACACCGAAACTCTGAACCTTAATCCCTAAACCCTGAAACCCTAAACCCCAGAAACCCTAAACTTTAAACCTGCAGTGGCCCTTGTGGATATCCCGCTTTCGGCTTTGATTCGGAGCCCCCCGAGGTGCCTACAATGAATCAACAGGGCCTTCACAATTGCAACAGGGCTTTCCTGGACCATATAATCCCCCCTTTTGAAGGACTTAATGAGGAAATCATACTAGGGATCCCAAAAGAGGAAGGCTTCACAGAGTCCAGGTAGGGGTATCTTATACTGATACTGTATTATTGCAAGGAGTCCCCAAAATTTACACAGCAGTGGCAACTATGCAGGCCCCTACATTAAATCTTTCGTAAATTGCGGCTCAGGGTTCCGAAAAGATGACTCAAAGGGGAAAAGGACGGACCCTTAAAGGGGACCCCTACCCTATAATGGGCTATATAATGGGTATATAATAGCATTATATTAAGGGGTATATACCCAGGGGTCCTTATTAAGGGTCCCTCCTTTTCCCCTTTGAATGACAGAAATCGCAGGGCGGAGGTCTAGCTGCTCGGAGGCTCGAGGGACTTGACTTGGTAAGTAGCCCAGACAGGGCCGAAACAACCAAAATGAGATTTCGGGATACCTTGGGTTTGGGGTTTAGGGTTTGCAGTCGAGGTTTAGGGGCGTATATTATAGAAGGAGCAATCATGAATAGTACTCGTAGCTCCCTAAACCCAAACTCAAAAAAATCTACACCCTGCAACACCTTGCAAATACGTCCCCGAGCCCTGAACCTGAAACCACTCTAACATGTTCTTTAACATAAGGTACCCTTCAGGGCCGCCCTTTCTATGAGGATGCCGTACTATTTTGGGGACCGCAACAGGGACCCTGAGTTAGAGAACTACCCACTTGGGGTGGTAATGGAATTACGGAACTCCACGCGGGGGCCCTCCATTCAGAATCCGAAACCCAAAGGGTCCGAAGCACCTATGTAGTAGAAGGTAGGGTTGGTGTCTATATTCGGAAACCTGATTATGATTTGGGAATACATCCCCCATAACCGTACCTAGGACCCTTGAAAAAAGTGTAAACCTGCAATGAGCGCATCTTTTCTGATCTCGAGCAAGGCACATCGCAAGCCGCTGCGCCAGGACTCGTTTAGTCTCTCTTAACCCGGACAAATAATCTTGCTTGCAAGTCTGTTGACCTTGACATTGGTCGGGTTTGTTGTCGAACACTAAGCTTAAGAAGCCTAAATCTAGCGGTTGTGACTTATAGGGTTTACTTAAGGGCTGTGAGATGTTGGGTGTTCTTCAACCTGGTGAAGATACGACATGAAATTTGGGATCCCAACACTCCTAAACCCTAAACCTCAACTCACTACCAGCCCTCAACTATGAACCTGAAGGCCTAATCTATGAGTGTTGCTCCTATGGGTTCACGGTCTAGGGGACCTAAGCAACATAAAATCAGAGTATTACAAATGGTTCACAAGTCTCATTCTCTCTCTCTCTCTCTCTCTGTATGTGTTTATTGTATGTGTATATATATATATATATACACACACTTAATACTTGTACCTATGTATATATATATATATATATATATATATATATATATATATATTACACGTACATACATACATACATACATACATACATACATACATACATACATATACGTATACATATCCGTATAATTCATTATACATATTACCTATAATACAGTATACAATTTCTTGTGTGTGTAAATATTCATATATTCACATATATATGTACATACTATATACTATACACGCACACAGACCAACCCCGAAATCCCTCATATATATACAAAGCTTCTGCATCTCACGCAAGTCGCGAGGGGCCTCGGGTCATCTTCAGTGATCCGGAGGCCGGAGGTTTCAGATCTTAGGGGTTGCGGTTTAAAGTCTACCGGGGCCCCAAATGGGAGTTTCCTAAACTTGGGTACCCTAATCTAGTACCCTAAATAGTAGGACCCTTATTATAAGGACCCTAAAATAAGGTACCCCGAATTTTCGGAAACCCTCGAATAACCTTCTTGTTTGCGGCCTACGCTTAAAAAGAATCATAATAGGAGAAGGTTTTATGGGGTCGTATGGTGTAGGGGTTTAGGGTTTTAGGAGTGTGGGGTCTCGACGTCTATGTTTCAGGGTGACTGGGTTTTTAAGTTCAGGGGTTTTGGGGTTTAGGGTTTGGCAGGGGTATTGGTTTAGGGATGTAGGGTCGTGATTGAGGTGCCTTCGATTGGGGTTTGAGGTTCATGTTGCGAGCATATCTCAGGTACAGGGCGTACGGGGTGCGGGTGTGAGGCCAGCAGTTCAGAGGGATTAGTATCCTCCTGTAACCCAAAACACTAGCCCCAAAAGCCAATACTATAATGCTAAACCCTAAGCCGCGCTGTTGATGTTTAGAGTGCAAGCTATTCTACACGCCAACTCTAACACTGTTGTATCCTGCTTTGTGGAGTTTAGTGTTGTATCCTGCTTAGTGGAGCTTAGGGAACCGGGTTTAGGATTTAGCTAGTTGTACCCTGCTTAGTGACGTAATGGAGGGATCCTCTCCAAACCCCCCTACAACTAGTTTTACTCAGGTGTCCCCCGGGGGTCCCCCCACTCATCCCCCGCTGGAAACGAATAGTAGTAGTAAGTTGGCAAGACAGGTGCCTCCAGTATGCAGACCTTCTGCAAACTTCTCAGCCCGGAATAGCAGAGTCATAAGCCTCCGCCGTAAACCCCAAAACTTAACAGCCCTTATGCCGAATCTGTCGAACGGTCTGCAGGTTCTGAAGCTGTGTCGCATGGGAGCCAGATACCCTTCCATCCAGGAATAGAGTGTATCGAACCTGTTTCTTACTCAATCGGTAGACCGGGCTCTGTGGGTACACTCCCAACCCTCATCGCAGAACCCTTAAGCCCTAAACCCCAAAGTCCTTAACCCCTACAAAAGTTACCTCTTTAAATCCTCGACCTCTAATCCCCTAAACCCTAAACCCCTAAACTCCATCCCCCTGAGCTTCACACGCTTCTCATCGGTTGCCTTTCAGCGGCTTTTTGGGCACGTTGCGCTGCATAAGTCGGCACGTCTCCACGTAGCACCTGTGTCCCCAAACTGAAAACCCTAACGGACGGACATCAAAAATTAGAATAGAGTTTGGGTTTGGGGGCCTTTTCTGCTATACTGGTAATAAGGACCCCCGAAAGTATCGGCACTTACCCTCCTTAAAACTTAAAACTAGGGGCGTGGGGTCTAGGATACCCCCAACCGAGCCCCATTTCAGATGACAGACGTCAAAGATCTACAGTATCAATGTGCCTCTTTTCCAGACCTACACCGTAGAAAGCCCAATAAACATGTGGCTCCATACGGACTGGATTCAAACTATGAGGGATCGTGCAGACAGGCAAAGAAAGTTGCTCCACATTGCCAGCCTTGGAAGGTGATTATGTACAGCTTCTGCTTGAGTTTCCTTCTCGTTGGCACCCTTCGGCAGAACTGCAGAATCGAAACGAGCCTCCCTTCATGGAACATCGCCGAGATTTGCTCAACAATCTAGCCAGTCATCCGCCACTCTTGATCCGGGCATGACGAAAGAGTACGGCATACAAACCTCAAGTCTGTATTCAAGTTCAGCCTCTTGAGCTCGCAGTTGAAAGCGGCAGAAGCTTCAAACATCTTCAACTACTTAGGGGAAGTTAAGATGCCTGCCTGACACAGATTGTACCCAGCGCTGAGGGCTTCGGGATCTGCAGGTACTGCGGCAGCAGAACCAGAAGCTAGGACGACCAGTGAGCGAGTCACAAGAAAACTATACTGAACTTAGAACCCTAGCAACAAGTCTAATTTAAGCTGTTTCTTAGGGATTATAGTGACCAAAAATTACCAAGTTATTTCTAAGTACCCCTAAGAAAAAATCTGGTCAACCCTGAATCCTAAACCACGAAACTTAAAAGAGGCACCTGGAAGCAGCGATGCGCAGCGGCGTAAAGCCGCCGTCGGCAGGCCTGCCGGGGACACCCAATCATACTTGTTGGGGTTTCGGGGGGCTTCGCTGGTAGCTCGTAGGGGCCAGGGGTTTCGAAGATTTGGGGTTACGATGCCGATAGTCTAGTTAAAAAAGGTTGACTCTAAACCCTAAACCCTAAATCTAAACTGGGGCTTCCTTTTCCGAACTCGCAACTTTCTGTGCGATCCCTCGGAATCTCAGCATCCCGAAGCCTGAACGCAGGGTTATCCTTTGGGGGGCCCCCCAAACCCGACAAAGCCCACCGTCTAAGGGATCGTTATCATGGTTTCCTTGCATAAGTGTTAAAAAATTGTAGGTTTTATGGTAGTAGTAGTAGTAGTAGTAGTAGTAGTAGTAGTAGTAGTAGTAGTAGTAGTAGTAGTAGTGGTAGTAGTGGTAGTAGTGGTAGTAGTAGTAGTAGTAGTAGTAGTAGTAGTAGTAGTAGTAGTAGTAGTAGTCGTAGTCGTAGTTGTAGTCGTAGTCGTAGTCGTAGTCGTAGTAGTAGTAGTAGTAGTAGTAGTAGTAGTAGTAGTAGTAGTCGTAGTAGTAGTAGTAGTAGTAGTAGTTGTGTCCAGGTACACTCTGAATCTGAAATTCGAAAGCCCTAAACCCTGATGACCAACTTCGCAACGAGTCAACGGAACCAGGGGAATCCGAATAATCTGGTGAAGAGGGGCCCTTCATTCTCAATGTAGGAACCTCGGGCCTTTATTCGGGCTCCTTCTGTGAATCCGTCCTACTATTTTGGGGTTAGAGACCCAGGGTTTCTTATTCAGGTTTCTACATTATCCGAAATCCGGGAACCCGAATGTGCCCTTAAACACTGAGCATGGAGCCTGCATATACATCCCAAATCCCAGACCCTATGGGGTTTAGGGTTTAGGGGCTTAGGGGTTTAGGGTTTAGGGGTTGAGTAGGCCTACTAAACCCTAAACCCTCCTAAAACCATGAGCCGGGTCACTTCTCGTGGTCTGCGGCTGCGTCCAGAAGAAGCTGGACTGCATGAACTTGGTTTCTCCTGGGCAGTAATTTGGGGGCCTTAATAATGAGAATAGGGTTTTGGGGCCCATTAGACTATAATTATAATAAGGAACCCCCAAAATGGTATAGGTAAGTATTGGGCCCCTTACGTATTGCGGTGGTAGAACGTTCGAGAACTTTTGTCTTCTCCTGGGACGGTTTAGGGTCCAGAGCTCTTGGGTGCAGGATGCGCGGTTCTGTAACTTGATTTCTCCTGAGAAGTCAACACAGAGGCCTGGGGTTTATGCCTTGAATTCGTTTTTGTGCCCGTTGATCCCAAACTCGGGCGGCTTGTTTAGAGGGCTGTAAGTCATGGCTTGGGCACTTTATTCAAAGGGGAAAAGGAGGGACCCTTAATGGGGACCCCTACCCTATAATTGGCTATATGATGGGTAAATAATAGGTATATTAAGGGTATATACCTAGGGGTCCTTATTTAGGGTATATACCTAGCCTTATTAAGGGTCCCTCCTTTTACCCTTGGATTTATGTATGGCTTCAGGCTCCAGTGCTTCGGCGGGCTCAGGTCTACCTAGGCGCGCCGCTGTCTCCGGTCTCCCAGAGACTCCAATACCCCTTAATTAAGGAATATACCTTATAAATTATAGTAGGATCCCTAATATGATTTAAGGAATATTCCTTAATTAAGGGGTATTGGAGTCTCTGGGCTTATCATTCACCTTACGTCGTCAACCTTGAACACCAGTCCTTGGACCCTGATCCCCCTCCCGAACCTGGCATAACTGACCCTTTTACGGACATGTAAAGAGAAATCATAACAAGGAGCCCGGGAAAGGTAGGTTTTTGTTGTCTTCAGGTAGACTCCTAACACCGAAAAACCCTTGACCTTATAGCATACTTTGATTCAGACTTCCTTAGACCGCTTCCTGCTTGGATTTCTATGCTTACTCTTCTATGCAGGGTTCTATATGCAACCTTGAAGTAGTAGCTTGGTAGAATAAAGGGTAGGTAGCCCCAATGATACTCATTCTGGCGAGCGGCGCGGCAGCACAGTACAGCGCCGTTTTTCCATCCTCGTGGCTGCTCTACTTAAAACCCGAGCTCCAGGTAAGGGCTGCGGATCCAAAGTAACGTGTGCGAGCCTCCCGCGGCAAGTCCACGCTCGCCCCGGCCTGCAACAAGACCTGGATGACCTGTCAAGGCGCAAACTTACACGATTGAAACTTTGCTTTTGCCTCCCTCTGAGGTACTATGTAGCCTTGTGGGGGTGGGGGGGGCATTCTGTATCATACATAATTATTTCCGTTAACATTGATTCGGCACTCAGTATACCCTAACGCTATACTTCTATGCTTTTGAAGACATATCAGCCTTGCAGGTGTAGGTAAAAAGTTCCTATACGGATTAGCCTTTGAGGTCGCACATACTGTCGTAACACTTCTACACTTGTTTGCCCTCTTCGTCATCTCTTGCCATACTCGCTGGCATCTGCGTTTCAGCCTAAAGCCAGCACCCTATCGTGGAAAGAGTTGAGGGGCTGTGCCCAAACTCATAAATCAACAAGCCATAAGGGCTTCGGTTTGCACGAATTTGAGGCTTCACAGAGGAAGCGGGGATTCAACTGGGACTTTCCGGAAATAGGGGACCCTAATATAGTACCGTAAATAGTAGGATCCCGATTATAAGGACCCCCAAATAAGGTACCCCCATTTTCGGAAACTCCCAACTAATGTCGTTTCCAGATAAAGATACCCCCCCAGATTAGACGGGGCCGTCCCGGGCATTTCATGGGCTTAATGAAGAAGTCCATTAGACCCCACCCCTATAGTACCGGAGCTCATTTAAACCCCCCCCGATTAGACGGGGCCATCCCCGAAAATCCCCGAAATAAGGATTTAGGGGATTTAGAGGCATAAGACTTAACCCTAAACCCCAAACCCTGAACCCTGAACCTAAACCGTACTACTGTACTACTGTACCATCACTTAATCGGGGGGGGCGGGAAAAACTTGAACCCATGAACAAGTTCAAGCGGGCTAACCTTGACAGCGGGGGGGGGGGGTTTGTTAATCTGGATCCAACATTAGCGTCGTTAAGAACTCCCTCTTTGTCGGAAGCTCCCAGGAATCAGGAGCCGAATGATGCCCAGAGCCCCAAACTACGTAAACCCGATCCAAAGCCTTAAGAAAGCACCACACATGTCAAAGCCCGAGAGACTTCGCGAGAACCCAGAACAACAAAAGGTTTAGGTGTAGGGCTTAGGGTTTTAGGGCTTTAGTTTTTTGGGGGGGGGCTTTAGGGGTTTAGGGTTTAGGGTTTTAGAGTTTATAGGGTTTTAAGGTTTAGAGGGTTCAGGGTTATCGAAAAAAGCAGGTATGGAGGCCTGAATGGTCAGACGAGCGTTCTGGGCGGCTGTCTCACTAGGGAACCCCAAGGAGTACGAATACTAATCTAGGATGCCCAGTAACCTAGGAATAAAAAGGGCTCCCTTTTTAATTTCGGTATTGGATACCTTTATAACGAACCTAGGACTACAAAAAGGGAATTAGGGCACTACTGGGCATACTACTAATTATTCAAAGACTAGCAGCATCATGTTGAACCCTCCCTAACTTTGTAAGACCCGTTTCAGGACTAGCAAACCGCAAACCCCCAAACCTTAAACCTTAAAACTCTAAAACCCTAAACCCCAAACCCTCCCACACCCTAGAACACCAAACCCTGTGTGCCTTGAGAAAGCCACGAGCGGCGGCCAAGGTGAGGGCAGTGCCGGCGGGGCCAACGGCATCCTCCAACTACTATACAATAGTTAGAATAGGGTTTTCGGCCTCTTTATAATATAGTTATAATTGGTAATTATTTAAGCTTCTATACTCGGCTTTTGGGGGTTTCAGAGAGGTTTAGGGTTTAGCGGTTAGGCTTTAGGGCTTTAGGGCTTGGGGTTCGGGTTCAGGGGTTCAGAAAGGGACGCTGTGGGGCCCCTGTTTTTCCACGCAGAAGGCTTTTCTAGCGTTTAGGGTTCTATAAAGGATCTGTGATTAAGGGATCCGTAAGGGTTCTACAAGGGTTTAGGGTTTGTCGGGTTGCACGAGAGTCCGAGGTCGCCAAAACGCAGGAAAATGCCTTGATCAAAATGGGTGATGCATTTGCTTGTTAGAATTAAGGGGTTTAGGGTTATCTGGGCATGAACTTTGTCGGTTTGAGGGGGAAAGAAAACTTCTGCTTGGAGCTTGCGCTTCGTCTGGCGTTTGGATTTGTAGTCCCAAAGGGTCCAAAGTAACCCTATAGTAGTATGTAAGATTTCTATATTAGGAAATACTATTATGATTTGGGAGTGTATAAGCTAGCCTGGTTGTAGGTCTGTGTTTTCTGAAGCCCGTACCCCAAAAACCCTGTATTTGCTGGGGCGGCCCATATGGTACATCCTTGAACACAAAGCTCTAAACCCGTAAACCCTAAACCCATAAACCCAAAGCCCTTAAACCCTGAAGCCTTACCACTAAACTCCAAGCCCTTTAAACTTAAACCCTGTAACCGTAAACCCTTCAACCCTCAAAACCCTAAACCCTTCAACCGGAAATCCTCAAGAAGCCTGGCGATCCGATTTCGGGCGGCGCAACAGAGTGCTTTAGGGCTCGAGGCTCAGTTGATGTTCGGGGTTTGGGGTTTGCGGTTTAGGTTTCAGCATCACAGGTTCAGATTAAGTAAAGGCTTAAGGCTTGAGTTTCTGGTCTAAGGTTAAAAACCCTAAACCCTAAACCAAAAACCTAAAACCCTAAACACGAAGCCCTAAGCACTCTCAGGTCCATGGATAAAAGTTCGGGGGCTCCTTGTCTGCGCGGCTTTGGAGCAGCATCATCACCACCTCATTGGTGAGAGGCCGTGCTTCGGCATGTTGACGCTATTCTTGAGATCCATATTTCCCCTAAACCCTACCTTAACCCTGAAGAACCTACCTTTTTAAGGACCTTTTTCAGGAAATCATAGTAGGGAACCCTAAAAAGGTAGGTTCTTCAGGGTTAAGGTAAACCCTAGATATTGGCTGCTTTTCAGTTCCAGTTGTTTACCTCGGATCTTCGGAGGGTAACCCAGCCGAGGAACTACGAGTTGTATATTCCCTTGTCAGCTACCCAGACCCCCGGGAGGATCCAAAAAGTAGATCCCTTAATGGGGGTTCCTATAAAGTACCCTTAGTAGTATAGGCCCCCAAATTAGGGGATCTACTTTCTAGATCCTCCCGGGGGTCTGGGTAGGGGCTCTAGTATTCAAGGGTCTCCATCATAGACTAACCGGGCTTTTGTGTCAGGGCACTGCCATTCTCATCCATGTTCATCTCTTTGAGTTAAGGGGTTTGTTAACCAAGTGTTTCCAAGGTGGACGCATAGTAGGATCCATGTTACAACCCTTCACGAACTAGCTAATATTACCTGTAAAGAGCTGAAACTGCTTAAACGAAAATACACGCCGCCAGGGCGTACCATACTGTTAAGTTAAAGGGGCTTGTGAATCAAGGGTGTTTATCATATACAGATTATATACGGCATCGGGTTTGCACAGAACTCGCGCGCAGCCTGCGGGTAGCCACCAGCCGAGGCCAGATGCAGGGCTGCGTATCCTTTGCCTTGGCAGAAAGGTTAGCGGTGTAGATTTGATTAGTGTGGTTTGGGGCAAAGCGATTACGGCTTCCGGGGTTTAGGCCTTTTAGGTTTTGGGGGGTATATACATAAAGTCTAAGCCCCAGTCTTCGACACGGAACCTTTGAACTCTATCCCAGCACTGAGTCGAAAATTCTTTCAAGGGCAGTCTAGGAGTTCCGGGCCGAGTTGTTGGGGCTGTAGGCTTACTGTCGGAAACCAGCAAGCCAGGGTTTAGGGTTCAGGGTTTACCCCTGCAGCACCTTCAAGTGCAAAGCACAGACTTGAATCAAACGCAATCTTCTGCAGCCCTCAAGTGCTGCTGGGAGGCTGTTGGCACAATTCACATCTGCCCGTGCCTGGCGGAAGCGCAGACCCTGAAACCCTAAACCCTTAATTAAGGACTAAGGCGGAGCGAGGTCACACTGATCACGGTTCACGGAGGAGGGCGGGGTGTTCGGGTTTTGGGAGAACGTGCACAGGCGCGAAAGGGCGGAGGGGCGTTTTGTCTAGGGCTTTTGGGTTTAGGGCTCAATAAGGTTTTGCTCTTCAGAGTCTCGGAACCCTACTCTTCGAACACCAAGGGACAGTGTGCACGCGAAGGGTAATGGTGGAGGCGACCCAGGGTTGAAAAGCATGTGCAAGACAACTTACACGGGCTGGATGTTAAGGGTGAGTTGGCAAGGCAAATAGCTGACCGGAAAGCCCACGGGCTAAGATCTAATCCTGAACCCCAAACCCCAAAAACCTTCAAGCCCCAATGCTCCTACAAAAATCTGAGACCCCAACAAGATAATCGCATGACCCACGTTTACCGTTCGGGATTGTAACAGGCGGTTTGGGGAGGAGGTTTGGGTTGGGGGTAAAGGGTGGCTTTTATTTTTAGGTTAAAGTTCGGTTTAAGGATTCTACAAACAATCTGGTAGTGCAGGCAGCTCAGCCTGAAGATCTATATACTAAATACTACAATCCCTGAACCCGCTTAAAGAATGTCCCTGGTCTCTACACGCTGTGCCTGCAGGCAAAAATGGGCGATCTTGCAGCGACCGGAGGCGGCCGCAGTCAGCAAAGGCGTCCAGCCCTGCTTCAGAAGACCGCGGGTTGCTTAAGAGCTTAGCATTTACTTCTGTTAGCTTTAGGGTTTACGGTTTAGGGTTTAGGGCATTTACGGCTTAGGGTTTAGGGTTTAGGGTTTAGGGTTTAGGGTTTAGGGTCTTTAGGGTTTAGGGTTTAGGGCATTTACGGCTGTACCTGTGACGGGTGGAACCCTCACAACGGTAGGTTTTGGGATTCCCAGGTAGGCTTTAGGATTTAGGGCTTCTTTAGGGGCCAAGAAACTGAATTCAGGCTAGGGGCCGATAGTGTTAAGGGGGCATCTAACCAGGGTCCCTTTGCCTTGAAAGAGATATTTTAGATACTTTAGGGGCTTAGGGTTTGGGGGTTTAGGGCCTTTACTCAAGCCCTTAGTTAGGGTGTCGAGTCGTGCTTCCACGAAGGCATGGTGAAGGACACTTGGAAGTCGGCACCTTTCTACTGCTGCCTCATGGCACTCAGTTCCCTTCTGAACTATTCTGTACCTAGAACCCTAGCAAAAATTATGATTTTAGCTGTTTCTTAGGGATTATATTAACCAAAAAGTAAGAAAATCTAAGTACCCCTAACATTGTACCCTAAACCCTTAACCCCAAACAATGGCAGCCTCCAACCTGATTCCTTAAACCCTAAACCCTATCAACCCTATATGCCTAGAAGGCCTAACCCCCCCCCAAAAAAAAAAAAAACTAACAAACCCTACAAGCCCTAAGCTCTATGAACCCTATACCCAAACCCGGCAAGCCCGATAAGCCCTAAGCCCCGCTCGAGTCCTCACTCTTCTCGTGGTTGACGTTGGCCTTGGCCTGGACGGATGTAATGGGGCTCGCCCGGTGTACTTGCTACGAATCGTCCCTGCTTGGGCGTTCGGGTTGAGGGACCCTTACCACCCGAACCCTCACGAAGGAGCCTAAAGATGTGGGGGCGTTCCGGCACAAAAACTCAAAGCCTTCCCAAAAGATGGGGCACAGAGGTCAGGACCGGTGTAGAGTTTCGGGTTCAGAATTTGGACGTGAGTGTCTTAGGGCTTGCGATAGACTCGGCGTGGTGGGCAAGGCCTGAAGTTTTGCTTGAAGCCAGAACATCTCAGCAAATTATACTCACCGTGTATCCCTAGACCCCAACCCCTAAAGTCCTAAGGCCCATAGATCAGAGCTGTTAAGGGCACAAAGCAGGGACCCTTATGTACCCTGCCGAAAGGGACGCTGATATTATGGGGACACATAGAAACCTGCGTGGCTGGGGGACCTTCATGGAAGACCCACTCAGGAAAGCACCAACCACACACGGTCTGCTGCTGCCTGTATTCATGGGGCTGAAAGGATTACCCCTGCCTGCAAGAGAATCGCCACTGGCTCCTTCCGTCCAGCCATGACCTCGGGAAGGTTTGGGTGTTTTTTAGGGGTTTAGGGTCCAAGGGTGGCTTAAAACGGAACCAAGCTACCTAGCGTCCATGCAAGAAGGATCCTTCTAATGACGCAGGATCTAGATTTGGGTACCCGGTTTAGACATTTGGGGGAACTTATCTTAGGGTTCTTATACTAAGGATCCTACTCTTTAGAGTACTTTTGAGGGGTCCTCTATTTTCTGAAATAACCTGCAAAACTTCAGCCTCGCCCTGACCAAACAGTTTTTCAAAGTTGGCTTGGCGGCTTTCCTATACTGAACTTAAAACCCTAGCAATAAGTATAATTTTAGTTACAGTTGCTTCTTTGGAATTATAATACCCAAAAATTAAAAACTATTTCTAGGTACCGCTAAGTTTCGACACCCCACCGAGCCCTGCGGCCTCCTAGTAAGACGCCACAACACCGAAACCCGTATGACAGAGTCGGCGAAGGGCTTACCCGGGCCGTAAACCACGGAATTCAGGGGGCGGTTTGGAATTTTAAGATCGGTCGGTGTTCGTCCTCAGGGCATAGGCTGCTTTTTTTGTTGAAGCGGTTCAGGCCCTGAGACGTGACCCCTGAAAATTTTAAGTTTATGGCTTGTGTGAAGCAGCCCCGTGGAACAGTAGTGGTATATTACAGCGAAGCAAGCTCGAAAGACCTCGTAGCAACCCGAGCCCCACCGTGGAATTCGCCGGCAAGTTCGGAGCCTTCAATTTGGGCCTTCCGCCCCTAACTTCTTAACTCAAAGGGGAAAAGGAGGGACCCTTAATGGGGACCCCTACCCTATAATGGGCGATAATATAATGGGTATATAATAGCTATATTCAGGGTATAGACCTATAGGGATCCTTATTAAGGGTCCCTCCTTTCACGCTTGGATTAACTACAAATCCTCCCGACAACCCGAAACCCCGGAAGTATAAAGCCCAGAGACATAAGATAGCACAAGGCTACGAAGTCTGCACTGCTACTTCGCACCTTGCGGCAGCGAACCCAAAAATCTCAAAACCCCACACCCTAAATTGATAAACACTGTAAACACTAAAGACTCTACACCCGACACTCCCAAACCCTGAACTCTAAGCCCTGAATCCTTAACACTCAACCCAGTGGCAGCAATGAGCAGAGGCGTCGCTCCGCGATTCGTGGTGCGCTCAATGTTCACCTTGGAGCACCAGGGCTTTGGGAACAGGGTACCCAAACTCTATAAACCCTAAACCTTAGACCTGACACCCTAAACCCCAAACCCTAAACCTCAAACCTTACACCCTAAACCTTGAACCATAAATCATACAACCCTAAACCTTAAACCCTGAACCCTAAATAAACAATTTGGGGTTACGGTAGAAGCCAAAAGTTAGCAACCCAATAGCCTCAATCCTTAAGAGTAATGTATAGGGAATCCCAGCACTATTTGGCCTTAACCCGGTTTCCAACTTTATGGGGTTTACTGTAAGGGCTCAGGGTTTGGAAGTTTCGGGTCGGAGGCACCGCTTTGAGGCTCAGAATTTCGGTATTAGTAGAAAGGGGCTTGGTATTTGGACAAGCATCTGCGGTGCTCCATATATCATAACTCTCTCTCTCTCTCTCTCGCTTTCTTTCTCTCTCTCTCTCTCTCTCTCTCTCTCTCTCTCTCTCTCTCTTTGTTTATATATATATATGTAAGGCACTTACAGTGGCTACCCACGCAAGGGCGAGCGACGCACATGTGCAGCAATGCCCTGATCGCCTCGACGGAACCTGCAGCAGAGCGAGATTGCTCCAGGCTTTGGGGGCTTAGGGTTTGGGTTTAGAGCCCCTAAACGGTTTAGGGTTTAGGGTAACCCTAAACCCTAAACCGTGGGCTCAGGGTTGGGGTTTAGAGCCGCTGAACCCTAAACCCTAAACCGTGGGCTCAGGGTTTGGGTTTAGAGCTTGAGGTCTACGGTTCAGGGTGAAGAGGCCTAGGCAACACCGAAGTCACGGAGCATTACAAACCCTGGGTCTATGCTTGTGCGAAAACTTTTCTTGGCAAAGCCATTCCTTCATATCCCTGCATTATCTGGACCCTATTCCCTAACTCCCAACCTTGCCCGAATGACCGACTGGGTGACTGGCAGTATTTATTACGTCAGGTATACAAAAAGAATGCCCCGAAAACTCCAAGACAGATAGATAGTGATATAGATTAGATAGATAACAGTTTGGCATGTCAGCAGGAGTGGACGGGTTCTCGTGAGAACTGTCTTTGGTGAAAAATACATATCGCACCACCGCGGAGGCCGCTGCAACGCCAAGCTTGGGGCTCTCCTCATAGCATCACCGACCTCATCCTCTCACTGCGAGCGTAAGAAATGCAGTTGTATTCCTCAATCCGAGACACTACATTCTACTACAGCCATAAAATAGTATAAGTAATAATTTAGGCCCCTACATTTTTGGTTCAGGGTAAACCCTAAACCACCTAAACTGTTGGAAAACCTGGTCACAACTCAGCCTGCGTGGGCAGCAGTGTGGAGGGGTGTCCAACCACGTGGGTCGGCTGGTTCCTGCGGCTACAGAAAAGGCTGATGTCATAAAGACCAAATTAAAGCATCTAGATATGTGACGGAGTCGAAGTAAACATGGAAATGGATGCACACTTACATATATTTATATATGTAATTATATATGCACCTGTGTGTAAATACACATATGTATATATATATATATGTACAGCAATATGTGTATATGTGCACACACACACTGTATCTATCTATCTATCTAGCTATCTATCTGCCTAAGTAGATATAGATCTAGACATAACAATGTTCACAGATGTGGACAAAGGTATAGATACGAATATAGGTATAGATGCAGATGTAGGTATGGATACCGACATAGGTATGTGTGACAGGAGAACATGAAACGACGTGTGCCCAGATACAGAGCCTTGAATGTAAGAATAGGGTGTTGATGTTGGTGGCTCTAAATTATAAGGCGGGCGGTCAGGGATATCATGACTAAGTCTAAGTATTTCAGGCTTCCACATGACTTCAAGGGCTTTTGCTTTGCGGGGATCTCTTGACTCTTTGCCGTATGCTTGTACTCTTGGTTGCAACAGCTGCGTCCCCAACACCCAGTGGGCCTGGCGATCTATCACGTGTTTCAGCTGCGGCCCGTTGCACGAACACCAACGCGCCAAAGCCTAACATAGGGGCCTTTTTCCGGGGGTGGCCTGAGACCGCGGTCGCGCTCCTACATAGGGGCCTTAATGATTAGAATAGGGTTTTGGGCCCATTATGCTATAACCATAACACCCCCACCATAATATTGGCAATTATTTCGGCCCCTATCGTATAGTAAATTCAAGGTTTAGGGTCTAAGAAGATGCTCCTGACATGTACACCCAAGCCATCAACGCGAAGCACTGCCCCTGTCTGAACCTTAAACTGCCCTAAGCCCCCAAAGCAGCATAACATGAAGCCCTAAACATCCTCAACATCGGGGCCTGCATCGTTAGAATAAAGTTCCTTCGCGCGTTCCTTGAAGGGCCCTGTAAAGGTCGCTGTAAGGGGTTCCACAACGACTCTATGATCTAGGGGTTTGAATAATTGCAATAGGGCTTGGGGTATAGGTATAGTATAGTATAAAAAAATATACGTATAGTAAGGAACCCGAATACGGAATAGTCTGAGCCATGTTAATATGAAGCCCAAACCGCAAGAATTGCGTCCTGTTGGACCCCGGCTCCCACCAGCCACTTCATGGCCTCCAAGGGCGGGTCCGCACGGATTCAGGGTTTAGGGAAGCTCAAGGTTACACGCTGTAGCCGTGGAAGCAACAACACAAGCAGCAGTAGCAGCAGCAGCAGCAGTAGCAGGAACAGCAGCCAGCGAATCGCATCTACTTTAGCCGTGGCACTCACACAATCCAACACCGTTGCAGACTGCATATTGGCCGCCCCAGGTCCCCATCAGCTGCCAGCCAAGCAACAAAGAGACAAATATCTCACAACTAGCTGGACATCACATTTGCCAACCCTAAATCCACGAGCGAACCTGATATTTGCTGAGGCTTCTACTTCAAGCCCTAAATGGCTACACTTTAGAAGCCCTGTAGACCCTGAACACCAAAGCTCAACCAACATGTCTACACGATGTTTAACTGACAAAAAACTTTAAATCTTTTTCAACAGCCCGAACGCCCCTCCCCTAAACCCCCAAAGACCCTAAAAGTCTCGATAACCCTTCCGTAAGCCCCCAGCACCTTCCCCTTCCACAACCCTCAACTCAGAAAAATCATGTTCGTAGGCGTCACACTGTACATTAACATGTGGGATCCCAAAGGCATTCTGCTAATTACTACTTGTGCAGACATCTACACCATTGAACCTGATAAGTGCTTTTCACCGAAATATAAACCTCCGTTCTATGTTGTCAATCCACTCAGACCGTAACCCCTATACAACCCTTATGTCCAACGGCAAAACTATCCTCAACCCTTGACCCAAAACCCAGACCTGATATCAACAAACCTAAAGCCTTGTCTATACCCCTTTGAACCATAAACAAAAGATGCGTTTAATATTCCCTTGGGTTTTAGATGAACAAAAATACAAAACATCCTTATAAGACTTTAGTTCTATCCAGACGACCTAAACCTTTCACCTTAAACCGATAGGCCTATACTGAACTCAGAACCCTAGCAAACATTACAATTTTAGCTGTTTCTTAGGGATTATTTTAACCAAAAATTGAAAAATATTTCTAAGTACCCCTAAGAGGCCTCCAGGTTCTTTGACCGGATCGCGACCCGAAAGGGCGAGACGGCAGTCCTCAATAAATTTCGAAAAAGGCTGGGTCGAGAACTGGAAAATAATGAAGTTTAGGGTTTAGGGTTTACGGGATGAGGATCATGATGTTCCAACTTTCTGGCTTCTACTATCAGGCTTCGGGGTATGGTTGCACCTTACGGTATAGGGGCCACCCTTGTCCTTTTAGAAATAATAGACAGGGCCCTATACCTATATCCCTTAGTAGGAATTATTTAAGAAGGTCTACTAGCCGGTCTGTTTATTCTTTTGGGGGAACCATGAAAAAGGACAAGGCTGATAATAGGGGCCATACCTTCACCCGAAACCCCAAAGAGCCCGACAAGGACCTATCATAGCATCTTGCGGTTCGTCAATGTGGGAGTTTCCGAAAATTAGGGGGCCCAAATAAAGTACCCCAAATAGTAGGATCCTTATTATAAGGACCCCCAAAATAAGATACCCTTAATTTCCGGAAACCCCCATGTTACCTTCGGGCAGCATTGAGGGTTAGGCTCTGTTTAGGCTTCGGGGTTTAGGGTATATAAGGCCTAGGGATTGTAGTCGAGGGTTCGGGGGTTAGGGTTTGGGGTTCAGGGTTTAGAGTTTGGGGATTAGGGTTTAGGGTTTAGGCTTTAGGGTTCAGGGGGTATAGCACGGATTGAGGATGCGATCCATGTAACGTGAGCCTCCTGGTGCAGGAATTGGCGTTTAGTTAGGATTCAACGAGCGTCACACATTGGAGGCTAGCAGTGGCTAACGTGGGAAGGGTGCTGTATGGAGGAATAATCGAAGACTTCATGATTACGATTGAGGCTCGGAGAATGTGGTGATACAGATAGATCTGGACGATAAGCGGGGGTTGTGACTACTAACACTTTCTGAGATCTTAAACAGGCTTCTCTGACTCTTGCCACCCTAAACCCCTAAACCCTAAAACCCTAAACCCTAAACCCTAAACCCCTAAACCCTAAGCCACCTAGGCAACCCCAGACCCTCCTTGCCGAAGCGCTTGGCATCACTAATCTCAGGGACCCTAAATCCTAAACCCTGTTCTATACTGAACTTAGAACCCTAGCAAACATTATAATTTTAGCTGTTTCTTAGGGATTATAATAACCAATCACCAAAAACTATTTCTAAGTGCCCCTAAGTGTTGGGCTTCTATCAGATTTCTGTAGACTTCACACCTTGTGGGTGGTTGTCAAAATTATGGTCCCTTTTTGGGGTACCCTAAATATTAGGTGCCGTTTTATAATAAGGACCCCAAAAGGGACCATAATTTTGACAACTACCCACATGGGGTTTGGGCATAGGACACAGCATGCCCATGTTCACTCTCTGGTCCGAGACCTTTCGCAGATCAGCCAGCCAGAAGGCACGTAGCAACGATTGGTCTCCGATAGAACCCCGAAGCGAATCGAAGGCCGCTCCGGATTCTGGCATCTGCTCATCAGCGCAATCACTTCGGAAGGCCGGAGGTTCTCCAAGAACTTCTTCACATCTGCAGGCTTTCTCCCTCCAGCCAGCCGTCTCAATACTCTTGCCACTTTTAAAAATCATCAACCTGCAAGCAGGCTCTATATTCGAACAGTACGGGGCCGGGGTTTAGGGTGAACAGCAGCAGGCTTATTGAGGGGCCCCAGGTTGAACCCTAAGCACTATTTCTGCCCCTGTAAGCCAGGGCACGCAGCATTGAGGTTCGGACTTACCTTTGCCTGGGCCGCAGACCAGTGTAGGGTTTGGGGTTCAAGGGTTTACGGCTTACGGTTCAGGGTTTCGGGCTTAGGGTTTAAGATACTTCCTACTTCTGACTTGCCTTCCAGGCGTTGAGTGACAACCGTCTAGGCTTCAGGTTTCAGTCCATGCAGGGCTCCAAAATACAACTCGGATGTTGCAGGCAACCCAGCGGCCACTTTGCATTTTCGGGTGTCGGGTTCGATGTGAGAGTGAGGATTCCGGGATCTTTGCTTTCCGTTTTCGGATGCACGGAGATGAGCAGAGCTTCAGAAAACTAGGACACACCAAGGTGGATCAGACCCTGAATAGGACGATACTTCTTGAAAGCTCTGGGAGCGGACACCACTGGGGAAATTGGGTGCCCCTGCAACCTGAGCCCTTAACCCCAAATAGGGTCTTAGTAACTAGAAGGGGTTATATTGTAGCATAGTTGCTAGTATAAGGAGCCTCAACCATTTTGTTGATAGTTATTTGGGTTTGAATATTACTGAAGACTCCACGATTGCAAAGTCTCCGCATACCCGAACACCCTAAACCCAGAAACACCCGAAAGAACGCCCCTAAACCCGAACAACTTCCTCGTGCCTAGCATGGAGTGAGGGAATGGATCCCAAAAGTAGTCCCAAAACAATCCCCAATAATAGTCCCCATAATCCATTCCCCCATTCCCCACTAAGAACCAGACAGACCCATCAACTAAACCCCGAAATCTCGGCCCAAACACGATACACCCTAAACCCCTCGGGTAAGAGTGTGTGACGGTTGAAAAAAGGGGCCTTACTAAGAGGAACAGGGTTTGGGGCCCATTATGCAAAGATGTATAACAGGAACTTCCGAAATAGTACTGGTAATCATGTAAGCACCTATGTCAGGTTTCAGGGCTTTTGTTTGCATGTGGGCTTAAGGCTTAGAGTTTCGGCTTTTTTGTTGGTTGTGGGTTCCAGGATTAGGGAAACCGTAAAACCCCTGATTCTAGACGCCCGAAAACGCACTTGTTCGGAACCCAGGGGAACCTACAGGTTAACCTTTGGAACCATAAAATCGGGATGAGCATATCCCAAAAAAAGGTTACAGGTTACCCAGTCTAGTGCTCAGCAATCCTTGGCGAACCTCTCAAGACCCTAAACCCTCAACCCTGAAGCCCTTACAGTAGCCCTCACGGACCCCCGTGAAAGGGATTCTTAAAGGCACCCAAAACCACAACCCCCACAATCCTAAACCGCTTAACTTACCCTAAACCCTAAAACCCTAAACTCGAAACCCTATACCCTATACCCTAAACCCTTCACCCTAAGCCCTAAACTTCATCGCCTGGAGCAGGGTGAGGAGCGATGCTTTGGTGGGTGCATCAATGGCTGCCAGCCTTCAGCTGGGTAGTTGTCAATATTAGGGTCCCTTTTTCGGTCCTTATATACAATATCAATATTAGGGTAAAATTTTTTGGCCCTTATAACAATACGGCACCTAATATATTTAGGGTACCCCCAAAAAGGTACCATAATTTTGACAACGAACTAGCCACGCAGCTGGGCTTTTCCGGGATTCAGTGTCTGCGTGCTGTGGGCTTTAAGGCTCTAGGTTTAGTTAGGGCTTAACTTTTGGGGCTTCAAACGGTCAGTAGTGTTAAGGCTTTAAGATGTCGGGTTTACAACTGACGGTTTTAGGTTAAGGGCCGTTTAGGGCCCAGGGCGCCTCCGTCGAAGGCAGGGAGTAGTGGGGTAGGAGGATCACAGGGGTTGAACGCCTCGGAATCCTCGTCCCGAACCTGACAGACGAGGTGCTGGGATCCAAACTCATGCAGTCTCATGCCTGGAGACTAAAGTAAAAGCCAGAGAGTTGGAATATGATTATCCTAAACCCTTTATGGTAAATTATAAGGTATCCTACCCTGAAACCATATTCCAACTTTCTGGAGTTCCCTTTAATCTGCCCGAAACCCTAAACCCTGAACTTTCGACCCTTAAGTTCTAAACAGTCAAGCAGCAGCACATTGGTTTCCGGGCCCAAGGAAGACTCAATGGCAGCATGGTGGTGCAGAAGGGCGCTGAGAACCTTGCAGGGGCAGGGCTTCGCCCTCTTGGCAAAGAGTAGACAAACCCTAAACTCTGCAAAAACTAAGGGGGCCCCCTCACATAATTAATGGTGTTCTATGTCCAACAAGGGAACAGCTGAAATAGAAGCAAAATTAGACATTGATGGGCATTGATGGGCCCCATTGTCTTAAGCCTGAGAGCTCCGACCCCCGAATTTCATGTTCTTGTGCAGAGGGCGAGGGCACGCTTGTAAGGCCCATGGCACTCTTGCTTTGTTCAAAAGCTCATAGAGACTCAATCACTTCGTTTCTGGGCCCTCTACGTCGGTGTGCCTTGCTAGCATCTGAACTGACATCATGCTAATTTTAAATGCGAACTATCTGAAGCTAATTGTTTAGGACGCAGGGCCATTTACAGGGCCGGAAGTCCCAGGCATCTGTGCAGTGCCTGCGCTTTCCAAAGCTTTGCAGTCTGGCCTTTTCTAAACCCTGAACCCTACACCCCCTACGCTAACTAAACCGTCGACCTCAAATTCACCCTAAACCTCGCACGGTATACCCTGAACCCCGAACCATATACTCTCAACCCCTGATCCCGATGCCCTGCACAAATTTCGTGAACCCTATATAGTATACCCGTAGAAGCATGACCTGCACGTGACCCTGCAGTGCCGCAGTACAAAGGGGAGTATCAGCACCGGTGGAAGGCCCTCGGAGGTCCTGATGGTTTGCTTCAAGGATCGTGGGACTGAGTAGCTACAGTCTTTCCAGGGTTCCTCAAAGGGATCTTCAGGGTTCTGTGAGGGTTACTTAAAGAATCGTGGGACTTAGTAACTAGGGCTATAAGTAAGGAAAAATACTGATAAATGCCTATAGCCCCAATTAATAACGGTACTTATAACCCTACATACTAAGTTTCGAGGGCTTGGGTGCTGAATTTTAGCTGCTCTTGCCGCCTAGCCTCAACCCTGAACCCTAAACCCTACAAGGAAACCCCAGCCAGGATTTGGACCTTGATCGTAGTATCCTGTTCTACTCCACTCACTCAGCCGGAAAGGACTCAACGTTTCAGGGCAGCACATATGAAGTAATGTACTATCTTCAGACAAAGTGCGATATTGACATATTACCATCAGCATGTCTATATGTTGCAAGCAGCGGGTCGATGAACAAAGTCACGCGCACCGAGATATGCATGGGATGTTACGCGTGGGAAGATGTCGAAAGTACTGTGTGTGGACACAATGCAAGATCTTACAACTTCTGGGACAGTCGGTCGAAAGGCCTTAGGGTCAGAGCATGGTTTTCAGGGTTCAGGGATAAGGCGCTTCCGTAGCTTCCCAGAACCCTCCATAAGTTTAAGGGCATCTATTGCGCAAGAATCAGCCTTGAGGAGCAAGCCTCAATATAGAAAGGCAGAATGGCACTATCCACGAACCTATGCAATGGTCGGGTCCGAGTATATAGATAGGGCCTCGGAAATGGGAACGAGGTTTTGGAGCACACAGTGTGATAATAAGAAACGCTGCAGACTAGTATTATGTCACGACTTATCCAGCTGTTCAAGCTTCTGGCTTCATTTTAGATTAGCTCGCTTCATGACAAGGGAGGGGGCGTGTCCTTGTCTGCGCCAGCCGCAATCAAGTACCTTGGCGTCACGAATGCTAACTCCAGAAAGGTAACATAGGGGCCTTAAAAATAAATAGGGTTTTGGGGCCCGTTATCCTAGAATTATGATAAGGAACCCCGGAAACAATGTAATAGGTACTTATTAAGGCCCTACTATTAGCTTGCTGTTGCAACTCCTGCCCACGAACTGCATCCTGGGAGAGCAGTCCTTGAGGAAGCCCCCTCGACCATGAAGCCTTCAAATGGGAGTTTCCAAAAAGTGGGGGTACCTTATTTTGGGGTTCTAATAATTAGGATCCTACTATTAGGGTACTATATTAGGGTCCCCCACTTTCGGAAATTCCCAAACCAACCTTTGCCGAAGTCCTCCTACAGTAAACCCCATAAAGTTGGAAACTTGACTAAGGCCAAATAGTGCTGGGATTCCTTCATTACTCTTAAGGATTGAGGCTATTGGGTTTCCAACTTTTGGGCTACTGGTGTAACCCTACCACCCCAAACAATCCACAACCCTACACCCCAAACGGCCTAAAGCCCCGAAACAATCCCAAACCCGTGAACCATCCCGAACCCCAAACGCTGCAAGCCATGAACCCATAGAAAGCCCTAGCGGCTCGTAGAGAACGAACCCTGAAGCAAAAATGCAGCCTGGCAACTTGACAACATCCAGGTGGTTGGTAGAAGCCTAGGGGACTAAGGCTGTTTCTGGAAGGCTGGCTTTGCATAGTATACATAGTGGCATTATACTATACTTATAGTATGGAGCCCCCAAAATAGTAGATGTAATTATTAAGGCTCCTATATTAGTAGTTGAGGGTTTGGAGTTGAAGAATAAGGGTTTAGGCCGTAAGGTTCGTAGGAGTTGGGATTCAGGTTTAGGGTTTCAGGTTTGGGCACTGTGGGAAGGAGTATGTAGGCAATAACGACGGCATACATGCATCTTGCACAGGCAAGAAATGAGCGATATGGGAGTTTCCGAAAATAGGGGACCCTATATTAGTACCCTAAATAGTAGGATCCTAATTATTAGGACCCCAAAAGAAGGTGCACCTAATTTCCGGAAACTCCCATATTGAACGCATCTTGAATCTTGTGCCTTTAGCCGCTTTAGCCCAGGCTCTCAGAGCCTGTACTGGACTTTGAAGTAACCAGGGAGAAAAATATAGCCTTTTATTTCATAATGGTTCCTGTAAGAAACAGGTACACAAAAAAAAGTAGTATTCAAGTATGGTACTCCAAACTCAGGTGTAGCAGCTGAAACCTGTCTTCGGGGCTTTCTGTCGGAGAACAGTAGTAGGCCAAGGAGCCTGAAGGAATCTTATGATATGTTTATCTGCAATTGAATATTCAGGCTTCTGTATTCCAAGCAAACTCGAAACCCATACCAACTAGCACATCCTTGGCAAACATCTTAATTTAGGGGCCTTGATTATGAAGGTAGGGTTTGGGGGTGTAGCCGTCTAGCATACAAGATATAAACTGAGGAACCCTTAGCAATAGAATTCCTCATTGTTCAATCCTTTGTAATACTTGGTGTTCAAGCCTTTCGTCGATTAAGATCGAGGGTGTTCTGGACTAGGCTTTGTGCTGTCCTTCAATTTGGAGTTTGCAGGCTCTCCAAGAACTGACGAATTAGTTAGGATGGTAGCAGTTACAGTTACAGCTGCTGCAAGTCGCGAGACTAAACACAAACCCAAGATTTGGGCATATCTTCACATGGCAGACTTTCGCCTATGCAGAAATGTCCGATTCGAAAAAGAACTCCATTCCCGGTCGCTTAATACCCGCGCGATATAGTCAGCTATGAGTTGACATGAGTCCCACATCTCACGTCTATACGGGTCGGCTCTTGTGGCCAGAACCCCTAAACCCTAAAGCCCTAAACTCTCGCCTTAAAACGGTCTGAAGCCAAGACGCTGCCATGAAAAGTGGGGTCGCACCTGCGGGGAACAGGTCCCATTCTTCCAATCTGGCATCTCCGCCCCAGATGTCATGAGCTGTAGATAGGTAGATAGATAGCAAGCCACATAGATAGATAAATAGATAATTTGGGCCTAGGGTTTCGGGGTTTTGGGTGTGCCTTTGAATTGTTTTAACAGCTGGCCGAGGCTCTGGGAACATGTGTGCTGACAGTAGCTTGAGCTTGACGTAATGATTAAGGATTTAGACTCTAGACATCATCTTGCTCGGGACAAAGCAAATCTCCTGCTGGGTGCATCCTGACAAGAATCCCTAAACCCTAAACCCTAAACCCTAAACCCTAGCTGAAGCCCTAAACGGGACACTTGAACCTTGAAGCCCCCATTCCCTTACTGGGACCAGTAGAGGAAGCCATGTAGGGACACTTATAGGATCCCTTGAAGAAGCCCTTAAAGCATCCCTTATAGGGGCCCTTTGTAAGGGCCCCTTACTTACAGGATCATGGGACGTAACAGCTAGGGTTATAAGCATTGTAACTATACATATTACGGCTCCTTTGCGAATTCAGGTACTGATAACCTTTCCGTCCCATGATCCTCCAAGTACACCCATGGCAACAAACCCCTCGTAGAACGTCGAACCCTCTAAGGAAGCCTACTGTAAGTCCTACTGTTGACGATACAAATCCTGCATTACCCATAATAAGGAATATACCATAATTCCCACAGTTTAGGGTCCTTAAGGTAATGCAGGATTTATATCATCAACCGTATGACCCGCTAAGCATAGTAATGTCAGGAAGGAGGCCTTCCAGTTCCGGCGCCTCCAAGCGCACGCGAGGAGGACCTCTGGGGAGGGCTTCTTGTTGATGTACAGGGAACTCCAGAAAGTTGGAATATGGTTTCAGGGTAGGATACCCTATAATTTACCATAAAGGGTTTAGGATAATCATATTCCAACTTTCTGGCTTTTACTTTAGGGTGTGGGGTGGAGGGTCTACCTGGACCCCAGAATACCTTCCCTTCTAGGGCTCCCTGTTACGATTTCCTCATATACGTCCAGAAAAAGGAGGCTATTCGGGGTCCAGGTGGGGTTGAGGGTCTAAGGTTTAGGCTTCCAGTGTAGGGTTTAGGGTTAGGGTTTAGTTTAGGTTTGATGGTTTCGGGACTAGGGTGTAGGGGTTTAAAAGGTTTGGGCATTTAACAACTAGAACCAGGCTTTGGGCGTATATTCTGGTACAAAATTTTATTCAGGGACGATGGTTAGCTGGAACAAAGCTTGTAGTCTTGGCACCTGTTTAACAGGGGTGAGGGTCCTTAACCGCCATTAACCCAAAATTCACAATCATCCTGTGATGGCACTTGTCTTGATTTCGTGGGATGATTGCTGTTAGCATTAGGCCTGGGGCCACAGATCCAAGATTGCAGATCAACATGGCAGTGGCGCTTTACAGATCAGGTGTTGTTAAGTACCGACGGCCTGAAGCCTTACTTACCTTTGGTTGGTAGGGAATGGAAGAATGGTAGTAATAGTAGTTGTAAGTGTGCCCCACTCCCCCATTCCCTACAAACCAAGGGTAAGTTAACCGACAGTTGGGGCCAGAAACTCTCACAGGTTCGGCCTTAAGGGCCCAGGATTTAGGGCTTCGGGATTAAGAAAGCCGTGAGGGTCCATGTACCCAACTAGTATATACTTTGGCCACAGAGTACCCAAATAGAGAATACTTTAAGGCATTTTTCCATTCGCTGCGGTAGAGCTCGATTCGAGCGCTCGCCTATGCATGTAAATTCTGGTGAAACTCAACTGCTCGGAGTGCGAAAGCCGAAGTTCGTGAACTCGAAACCCGTAGCGCTAAGCCACTCCTTAGCCGGTCCGAGGGCATTGCAAACTCCAGGGCAGATGAAAAGACAGGGCCGACTAGCGGCGGTAGTGACACATTGGGCGATAACTCCACAGGTGGCTTCGAGCCAAGTGCTATAGGCAGCCGCATCTTTCAAGCACAGGCTGGTAGGGACGTCGTGCCGAAGGACACGCGGAGGGGGTGGCTCCACCCGAAAGGTGCAGGAAGGACCCGTCAAGGCGAAAGCTAGACGTCCTGGCCGAGTCCAGGCTGGGACGTCATCCTGTGGAAAAGCGCGTGCAGGTTTGCACGGCTGGCGGGTGTCCGCAAGCAAGTCCACATCCAACAAGAGCAGAATGTTGTCAGCCGTAGAAGACCGAACCTGGCAGTGCGGTGATGCGGCGCGCCAGGCGCGCACAGTAGCACGAAGGGTCTCAAGGGGCTCGACGAAAGAAGTGACAAGTGTCCAGACCGCTTCTTCATCGCCGGGAGGAGTGGCATCCAAGGCGGAGAGGAGCCCGGCTGCAATGTCAATGCGGATGCGCGGCTCAAACTCAGTGTGCAAGGTTCCTGGAACAACCTCAGGGTACGCTAAAGGATGGGGGGAAGGCCCCTGGGTGCCTTTCGGTACAAAGCGACCCCAGTTGAGGACACACTGCGGGCTGGAGGTCAAATGGCGACGAAGTCTGCCCAAGTTGGAATACCCACGTCCGCAGGCGCAACATGTGGTGCCAGTAGCACACAGATGGGCGTGGGACCGGTAGCCGTGCTTGCGGGCGCAATGCCCAGCCCAAGCGAGCCGGCTATGGAATGCACGCCGGCAGGGAATGCAGACTTCGGTGTAAGACAGATGCTGGGGGAGATGGGCAGAGGGTTCAGGGCCCGGGGCGCAAACTAGGAGGAGGGCACGGTGAAGTCCCGAGAGGGCCGCAATGACCGTGTGTCTGTGCACGTCAAGGGCCTGGGCCCTCTTCACTGCCCCCTTGTACTTGCCTGGACCACGGGAGATGAAATTGCACCAACTGCCCCAATCTTGGCGGGGACAAGGCAAGCCAGTGGTGCTCCACGTGTACGAGTGTAACCACTGAAGGTCCGCCAGCAGTAGCTCTGCATGATCGCGATCAGCACGCAAGCAAGCCCAAAGTTCCGGGGGGCCCGCCGCCAGCAGCTGAGAGACATATAGCAGGCGCTGGAACCGAAGGGCAGTGGCAGGGCTGGGTAACTGCAGGAGCGAGAAACATGTGTGGGCGTCCCAGTGCTGGTCATCCATCTTCCCAATCCCCAAAAGGCTACGGTAAAAACTCCAGAGAGCGCCTGAGATGGACCTGCGCTCACCAATATTGAGGGGACCCCAGGACCCTGCTCCGAAAAAGAGTTTAGGGAGCACGGCCGATCGCAGAATGAAAGCTTTGCGGCTGAGGCTAATGGCGGGGTTCCGGTAGACTTTGCGTCGGCCTTCGGCGAAAGCCGCCCGGGCCTGTGTTATACGATACGCGATTTCCGCCCGAAGACCACCCCCAGGGATCTGCTGACAGCCTAGATGCCGGTAGGAGGCGACGACAGGTAAAAGGGTTCCGGCCCCAGTTTCCACCATGACAGGGACATGCCCCCGGAGGCCGGAAGGTCCAAAAACATGCTGTTTGGCTCGGCGGCTGCCAGGCCCAGTCAGAGTTAACACCGCTGCAGTTTTGCTGGGTGCAAAAGACAAGGTGAAGCCAAATTCTTGCAGAGCCTCAGACAGACAGCTGGCCTCCACACCTAAAGCAGTTGCTGCGAGACAGGGCGTGGTAAGGCGAGGGATGGCAATGTCATCCGCCCAGACCACCTCGGAGATCTGGATGTGGTCCGAGCAGTCGTCGCATGCTTGGAGGGTTCTGCAGCCATCCCACGACAGGGATGGTGGTTGGGAGACTTGGTGGCAGTCCTCACGGAGCTCATCACGGCGAAGGAGAATGCGCTTGATGAGGGCTGCAAAAATAAGATCTGCCCACGAGGACCCAGGACGCGATCCTTTTGCTGTGGCGATCACCGTGGAGTCCCCTTTTAGGAGGAAAAAATTTCCTTCTTGTAGACTGCACGTAAGTGCCTCCAGCCATGGTGGAGCGCCTCCCCTGGAGAGGGCCGTGGGTTCCGCCAAGTGCCTGGCAACAGCCTCGTGGTCCTCAGGGGGCAGTCGAAGGCTGTTGAGGAAACTATCCGGGTCAAAGCTATCACCCGCGGCATCAGTGCTAGCCACCAGACGCTGAATCACGCAATAGAAGGCAGATGCGATGTCCGCGAAAAGGGTGAACTGAGTCGCCCCTGTAGCTGCCGCCACGCGGCCTAGACCACGAATAAGCTGGCTGCCAAACATTACGGTGCACTGAGATTTGCCCCCAAGCTGCAAGCTAGGTGCTTGCTGCTCAAAGAACTTCTTCATCGGGGGTCGCAAGGCTTGGTGAACTATCTTAGACCAAACCGGGAGAAGGAGAATCGAGCGGTAGGATGTGCACTCCTGGAAACTCCCCTTGCCTTTATATAGCCAGATGGCCTGGCCGGCCTTGCAGCCAAGGGCTTCAGCGCCCCTCCAAGAAGTCTTCAGGGCAAGGTGGTGAAGGTGAGGGGAGATGAGCCCGGCAAAGGCTCGGCCGAACTCATTGGGTATACCGTCCATGCCGGGACATTTGCCAGGTTTCGCTTGGACTAGTAAGCGGTGAATGTCCGCACAAGTAGGGAGGAGGCCGATATCCATAGGAGCAGGCCACTTGCCGCTCGACTTGGCCCATTGCTGAATCTGTGAGTGTGAGTCGGCAAGGAACCGCTCCATTTCCACTTCCCGACCACCTTCCAGACTGCCGAAGTGCTGGCGCCATCGGCGAAAGCTGGAGTCAGAGTCTGGACAAATCTGACCGTTAGAGTCACGGATAGAGGGAAGCGGGTCCGCTCTATATGGCTTTTTACGTTTATGGGCGAGAAGCTGGTGCAAGTTACTGAAGACCTCAGAGGAGGGCCTGGAGGAGATCCGGTCAGCAAGAAGGCTCAGGTGGCGGTTGCGGTCGCTCCTGCAGGCGACTTTGAGCTGCCTACCCTGGAAACGCAGAACACTGAGGTGAGCGGCCACAGCTAGATCGGCACGGCGCCACCACGCCGTGCCCCCGACCAGAGCGGAGGTAATTTCATCTCCCCGCCAGATCCTGAAGCAGACTGCGATGAGCTGCATGTAGACCTGGCGCTGTAAGCGATGGAGTGACCTGCGGGTGGTGGCCACAGCGCGCTGAAGCCGCCAAGTTTCCGGCTGGAGGTAGGTCTGGTGGGGGCCTGCTGCCCCTTTGGCTCTGACTGAGCCCAGAGTTTGTTGGACATAGCTCACCAGATGAGCGGCATGAGCATGCACCGAGCACTCCCAGGGGAGAGGCTGAAATCGTTGCAGGGCCTCCGCAATCTTGGCCTTGTTGGCGGGGTCACTGAAGTCGCTGACGGGGAAGCGTCGTTGGCGCAATGTAGCGCTGGGCTGCCCAGCATTCACATGGAAGCGAACCTCGACAACCGCTGCAGTATGGTCAGGGCTGCAGTGGGCAGCATGGATCTGCGGCGCCAGGTAGGAGCAACAGTATTCCTTGCACCAGGCCGATGGGACACAGATCATGTCCGGTCTGCACATCTGACCATTACGTTTCTGCACATAGGTGTGCGAGGCGCCCGTGTGAAAGTCGGCCCAAGTGGCAGGAATTGAGAGGTCAAACTCCTTCAACACTGAGTGCAGTGCTTCACCAGCCTCATCCTCAAGTTCTGCAGCGTGGTCTCCCACTTGGTCCGACGGATTGCTGCCAATTGAGGCATTAAAGTCCCCAACTAGCACAATGCTATCGCGCATAGCGTGGTTCCGGATCAAGGCATGGGTTTCGTTCCACCACTGCTCAAGGATGGAGGCCTCCGTAGCACGATGAGGGGCATGGAGACCGACGAAAAGAATTCTGACGGCCTTGTCTGCAAAACGCACCAAGAGTCGGCGCGGATCAGACGCTAC